AAAAGTCAGAAAACAACAAGAGCTGTCAAGGGTGTGGAAAAATTGGAAGCTTTGTGCACTGTTAGCGGGAGTAATGATGCTGCTGCTAAGGAAAACAGTATGGTGCCCCCACCCCCAAATTAAACATCCAGTGACTCCACTGCTGAATAAGTGTGCAAAGGAACTGAGAGCAGGGTCTTCACGATACATATATATATATATATTGCTATACACACACACACACAACACACACACACACACACAACACACACATTGCTGTTTACAGTGTATTATTCACATTAGCCAAGACATGGAAGTGACCCAAATGTCCAACAGATAAGACAGATCGACAAAATGAGATGTGTCCGTGCAACAGAATACAACCCAGCCTTAAAAAGGAAGCCAGTTCTGGCACATGCTGTGTAGCAGGGCTAAACCTTGATGGTATCATGCGAAATGATATCAACAGGCCAAATCTTATGACTCTATTTATTTGAACAATCTAGAGCAGTCAAATCCACAGAATAGAAAGTAGAATGGTCTGGCCAGGGGCCGAAGAGTGGGAAAGGGGGAGGTTTTTCTTTAAATAGGTTCAGTTTTAGTTTTACAAGATAAAGATTTCTGGAGATAAGTTGTCCAACGGTATGGAAGTCCATAGTTAAAGTTGTAAATTTTATGTCACCGGTATTTTACTGTAATTCAAATTTTTTAAAACCATAATGCCCATATATCATAGTTTTGTAGCTGAAAAGTCTGGTGGGCTTTTTGGGTTCTCTGCTTAGGATCTCAAAGGTCAGAATCAAAGTACTGGCCAAGTTGATGCCTTGCTCAGGCTTGGGGTCCTAAACGAAGATCATTCGGGTTTCCAGAAGAATCAGTTACTTGCAGTTACAGGACTGAGGTCCCCACTGCCTTGGTGACTCTTGGCTGGGGGAGGGGAGCGTCACTTGTGACCCCGAGAGGACACTCCAGGACCTATCCACATGGTCCTCTCCAACTTCACAAGCGCTGCTGCAGAGCATCCTTTTCATGGCTCAAATCTAACTTCACTTTTGTTGCAGCCAGAGAAACCTGCTTTAAAGGGCTGGTACTGAAGTGGGAAACTTAGGGGATACCTAAGCAGAACACTCTGACACACGAAGAAGGAACACAACGGCTTTAATGCCGGCGGTTTAGCGAGTGACTCCTACCAGTCTTGAGAACTCCAAAAAGAAGTGTTTTTCTTTATACACCTCTTTTTACATTTATGAGGCTCGATTCCATCGGAGTTTCCCTGGGAATAGAGCAAGCAGGATTTACACCGAGCAGAGCAGTAGAGGGGTTGGGGGAGAGCAGAGTCCTGGTGGGACTTCCTGAGTCCATTACGCTCCTTTGGTGACAGACTGCAGGAGCTGCCATGGCCACTCAGGTGCATTCTACAAAAGCATAGTTACCCAGTTAACCCATAGTTGCCCCGTTCCTTACAGAGGGGTGCTTTCCTCTCTCAATACGAATGGATTAAGCCCACCAGGATAATCTCCCTTCTAATGAACTCAAACTCCACCACCCAGCAACCTGGGAGTTAGGGTGGAATGTGGGAGGCCATTTTAGAATCTCGCCTAGTGCAAGCCAAGGAACCATGTTGTAAGGACTTAGACACAGTTGTTCTGACTACAGCTCCGGATAAGGTCTCAGCCAAAAGCCTGCATCAATTGGCAGACAGATGCATCTGGAGCTGCAGATGGTCCAGACCCCTGTTCTCAAACCACCCCAACTAACTCACTAGAACTTGTGGAGCACAGACAAATCAGCTCCAAATTCCTGATCCACACTCATGAACAAATGTTTTATAACCAGAGGTGGTGTCATGTGCCTGTAATTCTAGTACTCTGGGAGGCAGAGGCAGAGCTGCAAATTGAATCCCAGTTTGGGGAATCAAGCTGGAAAAAACTTAGAAAGCTGTAAACAGAGTTTGATGGGAGATTCTGGTCAGAGCTCAGAAGACCAGGCTGCTGATAGGAGCGTGACACTGAAGGGTAGGTTCATGAGGTTTCAATTGGTAACAAGGATTTCATTGACCATTAGAATAGAGACCATGTGTGCTACACTCAGGAAAAAAAGAATCTCCATTTTCCTCTTATCCGGAGACTGTGGGGAGGCTAAGGTTAAGGGTGATAGACTAATTGACTGGGCAGAGGAAATTTCAAGGCAGCCCAACATCCAGATGTGGCAACGGGTACTGCTGCTTGCTTTTAGCCAGATTTATAGTGAGATTCAGGGACACACACACACACAGAAAAATTTCATAAACTTAATTTGCCAGGTATAAAGTTGGAGCCAAAGGAGGTGTGGTTGCTATAGAGATTGGTGCCATTAAAAAGAAACTAAAGTGTCAACTTTTTACTTGAGAAGAGAGCCCCTGGACCCCTGCTCAAGGACTACTTCATATAGAATTGGTTTCCTGAGATTCATTTCACCATGCTCATCCATCCCAGCACACAGAGGCCACTATAACAATGATCCAAGAGGGCCTGGCAACTGCTCAAGCTGGCAGCTGGCAGTGTTATCCCTATGATACTAGTTTTATTGGCATGCAGAATTCAAAAGCCATAGGGTCAGGGAGGATTTTACCCAGATTTCAGAGTAAGGCCTGGAGGCTAGGCAAGGAGTCCCTGGGAGGACAGAGCATGAAGCCATGGGAATGAAGCCAAAGGTGCAGTGGGGAATCCAGGAGATGCCAGGAATGTGGAATGTGTGCCAAGGAAAGCTGTAGACTGAGTGGAACCAGTCCAAAACAGATGCCATGTGGGCTACAACCACCAAGGTCATATGGTTGGGCTGCCTATGTCCTTTGGAACTCACACGACACCACCACGTGCCCTGGATCCAGACATGGAGTTACAGGACTTAACATTTACCTTGTCGGGTTTTGCTTTTGCTTTGGTCCTGCTTCCCCCGCCACATACTGAGGATTGAACCCACAGCCTTCATACTGAGCTACATCCTCAGCCCTTTTACATTTATTTTGAGACAGGTCTTGCTAAGTCACTAAGTTGAACCTCAACTTGTGGTTCTCCTGCTCAACCTCCCAGGTGCTGAAATCACAGGTGTGCACCACCATGCCCAGCTACTCCTATTCTTTTCTACCCCCCCCCACATTCTTCCCTTTTGCAGTGGGAATGTTTACCCTGTGCCACTGTACTTGGGGATTGTATTAACTTGTCTTTGACTTTGGGGGGGGTGTTGAGACAGGGTCTCACTATGTAGAACTCACTATGTAGCCCAGGCTGGTCTGAAACTCACAGTGACCCTCCTGCCTCAGCCTCCTGAGTGCTGGGATTACAGGAGTGCACCACAACACCTGGCCACTGTCTTTGACTTTTTACAGGGGTTCACAGCTAAGAGTTTGCCTTGCGTCTCAGAGTAGACTTGGACTTGGACTTTTAGCAATGCTGTCATTGTTGAGACTTTGTGGGAGGGGTTCTTGTGCTTTGGTTGTATGCTGGTTAGTTGTGTCATATTATTCAGAAGTATAACCTTGTGTTATATGGAGATCAAGTATGGTCTGAGGCGATTATGTATCAATTTGAGAAGGGGTGGAATATGACAGTTAAAATAGACCGTGAACTTGACTGGCTTGGGAGCTGCGTAGGGAATTGGTAAAGCATACCTCTGGATGAGTCTGGGTGAGGTATGGAGGCGTAACTTTAGATTCCACATCTGTGAAGACCTCCCTCACCCCTTCTCCTGAGGGTTATTTCCCTGCTCTGCTCCCCAGCTACGAAGAACTAAGCAGCTTTGCTCTACCATCCCCTTCCTCCGTGATGTTGCGACCTTGAAACCAGCTGACCATGGACTGAATTATCTGAAATCATGAACCACATAAACCATTTCCTCTTTTAAACTGTGGGTGTTGGGTATTTGGTTCCGGCAATGGGAGAGATCACTAATACAACTCCCGAATCGATGACGCCCCTAGACAACTCTTACCTCTATTCTTCTTGCTATGTTGTATAATATTAACTATCTTATTGAGCCTGTCTCGGGTGCTTGCATTTGCGGTTTTCTCTCCTGGAATGCCCCCTCCTCCACGCCGATTTCTGCACACCACTTTCGGGTCTTCACCCAAACGTCATCTTGCTGAGGCCACCCTACATGAAATCAGAGCTCTTGGCCACACACTCAGTTCTCTTCCCTCTGCTGTTCTTTCCATTGCTCTCTATCATATTATATGTGATTTTTATTTTATTTATTTTATTTTTTTGGTACTGGGATCAAACTCAGGTCCTTGTGCTTGCGAGGCAGGTGGCGGAACCACTGAGTTAAATCCCCGGCCCTATGTGATTTTTATTTTATCCTTCTGCCTCACTATAACACAACCACCACAAGAAGATGGACTTTTGTCTGCATTCCCAACACCTACCAGTAGAACTGTGCTCGATGCTTAGAGTCTGATCAGTAAAGACTTGTTACAAGAATGACGAATGGTCTGAGTTCTTTTGGCTGGGCTCTCTGTTACTTTCAGCTGAAACAGATGGTTCGTGGCATTCTGCCTACTGAGTTCCCCATTTTTTCTCTCTCTGCTCCATCCTTTTCGTTTGGTGCTTACTGCAAAATGACTCCCACTTCAGACTGACACTTGATCCTGTGTCCACCTGGCTCTCAGACACTGTCATCTGTAGCACCCCTCACTCCAGGTCCAGCCTGACCTCTGGCCTCACAGGAGAAAGCGGACTGAATTGGGGCTCAGTTTGAGGCACAACTTCAAAAAAGGAAACAAACCACTTTGTGTTGTGAGATGCGATTCATTCTGATTTGGTTACTTCCGGGAGAGGAAATCTGACAGGAGAGGGACTCCTCGCCCCAGCCAGCCCTCTGCCCATCCCCACCCAGACAGGACTGGAATGGCTGCTCTAGAAGCCTCGGGATATCGGGTCCTCAAGCCTCACCTTGGTTTCTAGAACTTCGTCAGAAGAGGAAAACGAAGAGGAGGATTTTGCTTCCCAGTGTTGGAGAAAACTCAGTCTAACATTGGGGGCCCACTAGTTTGAGGAGATAGGCTTAGCTTTTGGGGCTGCCTTGCCTGAAGGAGAATGTGGGCGTTTTCACTCTAAGGAAGAACAGAACAGTGTGGGGTGAGGAGGTTTGGCCTGGAGAGGCCCCTTATCTGAGGATGGAGGTGTAGCTTTAGTGGAGCAAGCCTGGCCTCAGCGTGGAGTGAGCCGGTGGCCTTAGAAAGGGGGAAGACACAGCCTGCGCAGATGCAGGAGGTCCAGCTTTTGGGGACCTTGCTACCAGGAAGGGGGCTTAGCCTTGGGGAAGCTTAGTCTGAGGCTTAGTCTGAGAGAGCAGGCTCACCCCTAGTTCCCCGCTTGGACAACAGAAGTTTCCAGGCCGCAGGCGCGCCCAAAGGTGTGTGGGGGTGGGTGGGATCTGGGCTTGGCGTCCTGGGTCCTCAGCAGAGCGACGCGGCCCCCAGGG